GAGCGTGGATTGGGGGGGAGGGGGGCAAATTAAAAAGTCCATTTACAAAATTTTAGCAATTTCTAATAAAAAATACATTTTCAGAACTTGAATTTTAAAATTCTGATTAAAGATGGAAATAACGTACAATTCTGTCACATCTCTTGGTGGTAGCTATTGTTTTGTATAGAGTTTAGCTTCTATAGACTATATTACTGACAATATAAATAATTTTTAACACTATCAAATCACTTTAAATAGGAATAATAACATTTTTAGTACTTTAATTATAAGTAAAATTTAATTTTGCTTTTATTAATCTTTGACTTAGCATATTTAACCTTCGGTTTGTTAAAGTTGCGCATTTTTCATCCTTCTTCTTGTGCCTCTTTCCAAATTTGTCGAATTATCGGTTGACTATTTGTAATGTTATTATGTTTAGTATTATTTTTAAAAATCACCCGTAATAAGTGAAATTAGTAATCTGACAAAAGAAAACTTTTAGAAACTACTATATGATGGATTAAAATAATTTAGCACTATTTATATATATAAGTGAACTCTTTTTTTTCTTTTTCTTTTTTTATGTTGATACAATATAATTTCAGTGGTGGTTGACGAAACTATATATGATGATGCCGTATCTCATCAATCAATCATATTACAACCATACATTAAAAGAGCAATCAATATTTCTTGTCAAAGACTATAAAAAATGTAGCAATAATATGGATAAGATATAAAGTAATTTCTTTACTATTTTCAGTGCTACAAACAGGATATGCACCTTTCTAAATGTGATATGTAATGCGTATATATACTATTAAAAATATTATTATTTTTCAATAGATATTTTCCACGAAAAAATGTTTAGTGATTATTCTTATAATTATTTTAATTAAAGAGAAAATATTCAATGTCTATTTTCAATATATCAATAGAAATTTGTTTTCCATCATGAGTTGATTATGTGGAAATGAGGTGAAAAAACATATTTTATAGCATAACATTTTTTTTAAAATTTATGGTAAAAGACGTTTCTTCTAGTGTTTTATATAGAGCAACTTTCACATATAGCAAACATAAAAATCATTTGTGTCGATCCGACACGAATTTAGCGTGGGCGTCATGACATTCACATCGAATTTGGTCAACATCATATCGGTGATGCTATAATAGGTCGTGATGATATGGTGTTGACTTCAAGCGTATTAGCAATATTAGTGATCAATTACCATTAAATTTAGGTTATGTATATATTGTCATTGACTCATTGTAAAGAACTTTTACAGTATCAGGTCATTAAAAAGATATTTACAAATAAATCTTTTTAAAATATGAAATTTTAATCTTAAAAATAAGATAAATTAAACTATTTGCTAAAGCAGATAAGATGACCTGATGATGTATAAATTTCTTACACCAATAATGTATATAATTTGATCGATCTTATTAATTATATACTTATATTCTTTATTCCTTTCTATAATATAATTGCTTTTCAATAAATATTCTAAACAAAGGAGTCAAGATTTTTACTATGCAAAGTCAAATTATAAGAAGTAATTGTACATGAAGAAGTCTATACATAAAATAGAATAAAAAATTTCACCTAACTACTCAATGTAATTTTTTAATGAACATGTTAAATGACACTCTCGAACAAAGATAACTTTGCAATTCCATGTAGACAAAACCTTATAACAATATCATGCACATCGAAAAGAGTTTTATTAAAATTTTAATAGTTCTATAATATCAATTGTTGAGATGGCCGAGTTGGTCTAAGGCGCCAGATTAAGGTTCTGGTCCGAAAGGGCGTGGGTTCAAATCCCACTCTCAACATAGTGTTTTTATTTAGCTTTTTTCCTTTGCATAATAAAGTCATCATTTATTTTTAAGTTTTTAGATATAATAAAAAGGTTTTCACCTTCAAAACTCTCTCAATATTTTTAAACATTATTACAAATAAATATTCATTTGTATTTGTAGTAAACTTATAATTCTTGGGCACATTTTTCCTGATGTACTTTGCTCCTTATACTGAAAAATAATTTCAAAAATCTAGATTGAAGGACTTGGAAAATAAATAAAATCCAAATTAATTATCAACAAGGATTGCAATGTGATGAGTAATGTTCCTTTCTCTTTAGTAAAAGATTTTGAGTTTAAATCCTGAAAATCCTATTGACATGAGTAGGGATGGTATTCCGAGGGACAACTTTAGGTCATTTGAGGGGTTCTCGGGAATTCAGTAATTTTTACATAAAATCGATAAATATATAAGGAATATGACTTAGGAACCACTAACAAAGTACTCCCCCGGTTTCACAAAGAATGACCTCCTTTCCTTTTTAGTCAGTTTAAAAAAGAATGATCTCTTTCCTTTTTTGGTAACATTTTACTTTTTGCTTTCCACGTGACATGTTTAAGACCACAAGATTAAGGGCAATTTTGTACATTTGACATAACTTTAATTTAGGACCACAAGATTCAAAAGTCTTCTTTATTTACTTAAACTCTGTGCCAAGTCAAACCAGGTCATTTTTTGTGAAACGGAGGGAGTATGTTGTTTGGTCTAGTGGCAGAAAATGACAACTTTGTCACTATCACCATATAGGTCTTTATTCTGTCTCTTTTTATTTTTTAATTTGAGATAGATGCGAATTCAGAAACATCAAATCAAATAGTAGATTTGCTCCGTTAGATTCTTTGGGTGGTTGTAGAGTCACTTAAGAACAATGCATTGGTGGGAGTGCTTCACCCTTAACCAGAGGTCTCGGGTTCGAGCCATGGGTATGGAGAAAATTTTGTTGGGAGCGCCACCCCCGAATGAGCCCTGTAGAGCACGATCCAGATTTAGTCGGAGCTCCAATGTGGGTTTCGAACACCGGGTGGGAAACCAAAACAAAAAAGAACAATGTAACTCCATTATTTATTTGTTCTACATATAGTCATCATAATAACTTACTCATTGAATGAACCTCGTGATTCAAATTTGATTTAATAAGATTTTAATACAAATATAAAAAATGAATGGATAATAATAAAAAAAATGACTTTGAAAAACAAAAAAATGAAGGCGACATATCAGCTAATCCATCATTCTAATACCCATGATTTTCACGTTTAAAGAAAAGCTGTCGGTTGGAAAAATAAATAAATACGTTTATTTGACTTTTGTATAACATATATTAATGGTAGTTGGAGAAAAAAAAGCTCAAGTAATAATTAAAGTTATTTTTACAAATAAAATATCATATAAAAGTTTGGCATTTGAATAATTAAATCAGTTTGAATACCTAAAAAGTTATGAAAGTAGTAGATGATAATATTATAAAAAAAAAAATTCCGAACATTTCGAAATCTTGTTAAGTAGAAATTAGAAAGGATGTCACACAAGCTCAAATTGAACAACATTTTTTCTTTTTGTCTAGAGAAGATGATATGCATATTTTACGTCTATTTTTATAAAGTAGAAAAAATGTTCTCAATAGATTTTCAACTTAAATATTAGATTATGTCTGTTGTTTCGATTTAAATCCGAACCACTGAAGGTATAAAAATCATGTAAAATGTGCAATAAGCTATGGGGAGGCTCAAGGTCCAATCAACTAAATAATTTGCTATTTGTCTGAGGCCCAAAAATTTGTAGTAGTAGTTTGTATTATAAAATTTATTTTTAAAAAATATTTCAATTCATAAACTAAAAAATCGTAAAAAAATGGAAATAAGTGGTGATCAAAAAGATAGCTTTAAAAAGGATACATGGGTATAAATTATAATGACTAATGAGCCTAATTCCTTTGCAATGAAATATAATATTTGTTGGCAAGACACAATTCTTTTGATTTTTCATTCGGTGATCAAATTCAAATTTACATTAAAAAGTCTCACATTAAAGGATAAAACGTTTTCTAACAAACGCAACTTCATATCGAAGGGACTCAATTCCAAGACATCTTAAATATATTATGCCATGTAAAACATTGTCTACTTATTTAACACATTAAAAATTAGAAGACATAAATATAAATTGATTTCAAATTAAATGATATATTTATGTTAAATGTAACAATTAAGTGATGAATTAGCAACAAAGTTATTTTGTCTCATTACACATTATTATTCCCACTTGACTAAATTTAAATTATTCAACTCTACAAAGTTTGATCGATCCATGATATTCTACCCCCAAACATTCAATCTAATATTTATGAAAAACTCATGCTTTTCTTCTATCAATTTAAACGTAACGCACTTGTCCAAAAATTAATACACATAAAGAAATGTACAACTACGAGTCTTGCTCAAGCAAACCACAATTCCCAATTACTTCTCTCTTTCTATATATATAAACAAAACATAATCCTTTTCTTCAGTTTCTCTCTCTCTCTCTATAATACAAAACCTAGGCGATTTTTTTTTCTTTGACTGTTTGATCAGTGTAGTGAAACCCTAGTGTTTTTTTTTTTTGTGATCCGTGAAGTATGGCATCTGGATCGTCTGGCAGGCCGAGTAATTCTTCGGGTTCGAAGGGTTTTGATTTTGGGTCTGATGATATTCTCTGTTCTTATGAAGATTATCCACATCAAGATGCCTCTAATGGAACCCACTCTGATCCTGCGATTGCTACCAATTCTGCTAAGGTAACTATGTGTTTTTGTTTTTTTTAATTTAATCGGAGAGGGATTACAATATGAGGAATCGAACTCTTAACAATAAGGTGGTGGAAAGTTCAGGTAGTCATATGAGTAAATTATTGTAGAGTGGAAGTGTTGTGTGTTGTTTTGATTGATACCCAGTAGGGGTTTTGGAAGTTATGAGGTAAAGCTTGAGAATTTACAGATGGGTATTGCTGAAAATTGTTGATTTGTGGTGTCCGGTCAGCTTGCTCACACCTCGACTGGGTTGCTGCTAGCCTTCAGTAGCTTTTAAAAAATCACTTAATATGTATAGTTATTTTATGAAGAACTCAGTAAAGTTGTTTTTTTTTAGAATTCATTACTCATAAACTCAAAATCTTAGCTCTGCATTTGCTAGATATCTAGTAGTCCACCAATGGTTTACTATGTTTTAGCAGTTGCACTGACCAATTTTTTGACCTATATGATAATTATCCTGATGCAGTCTGTTTAACATTCTAAGTGTGGATTTTCAAAGTGATCAAAGGTTAAAGAGTTGGTTCACTTGGCTGTACATAAATTACTGTGGTGTTTAACTATGTAGTTCAATTTTAGAGGGGTGAGGGACGTAAGATATTAGTCTATCTTCACTCATTTTGAGCTACTAATAGGAGTTATGAATCATTGTTGTAACCTAAAACTAATGATGACGGAGATCCTTGAACTCTCCTATACCTTCTCTTCTTTGTCTCTTTATATCTGCCTCTCTTTTTGTAAATGAATAATCCGAAGACATGAGACCGCAAAAACAGGTTAGCTAAAGTCCATCTGCATGTAGAACAATAAGGAAATCATGTTTCACACAGTATCCTAAAATCTCAATAGCTCTGGCTTTGCATCTGGATTCTAGATTTGGTGTAAACCTTTTGGAAAATGTTTGGAGTCATTGTTTTGATGTAGCTCATTGATAGTAATTATAACAGATTAGCAGCTCTTTCAGGGGTCACAGACAAGAGGTAGAATTGGTTTTCTGATTAAGAATCTTACCATGCTAGACTATCCATAGTCATGTTAACTTCTCTAGAATTTTTTATTTTGTGGCTGGTTCCCGGGTCTTAACTTTTATCATGTAATGGAGCTAGCATATCTACTTTTGTCCTCTTTGCGTCTTCTTGATGCCGGTAATGAAACAACTTACTTCATCAAAAAAGAAGAATCTTACCACAGTGCTTTTTAGATCTTTGTAGGAAGACTTTTTCTTTCTTTTTCATTACATTCAATCTTACCTAATCAACTTCTATTTGACTTCTTACTCAATTATGCTCTTGTATTGAGTAGGAGTTCCACAAAAACAGAATGACGAGGTCATCAATGTTTCCCACTTCGACGTATAGCCCTCCAGAGGAATCTTCCTTCAATCAAGACATGATATGTACTGTTGAGAAGACCATGAAAAAATATACGGACAATCTCATGAGATTTCTAGAGGGTATCAGTTCACGCTTGTCGCAGCTGGAACTGTACTGTTACAACCTTGACAAGTCCATTGGGGAAATGCGGTCTGATTTAGTTCGAGATCATGGCGAGGCAGATTTGAAACTGAAGGCTCTTGAGAAGCATGTTCAAGAGGTTCGTTCACTGATTTCCTTGCATGGCATGCATTTAAAGGTTCTGTCTAGCAGCTAAATGCTGTGTTTTTAGATATACCCCTTACACAAGTTAAATGTTATTCTCTTATCGGAGGTATGTGCTAAAAGAAAGTCTGCTTTGAAATTATGGGTTGTATTGCATTGCTTACATATTATGTTTCACATGGTATATAATGTTGTGTGTTCCTCCTCCTTTTTCATAAAGATGATATGCTGCTTATACTCTCACCATCCCAACCCTATAAAGTAGGATAGTCCTAGTAACATGGTATATATAACATGCATAATCCTATTCTTGTAAGTTCCTCCTCCTTTTTCATAAAGATGATATGCCTTTTATACTCTCACCATCCCTAGCCCTATAAAGTAGGATAGTCCTAGTAAGTTAAGTTATAATGTGATAAGACTTTTTGATTATCTATTATGTTTGACAAAGTTTTAGCTAAAAGTTAAAATCCATTCAAAGATTTCTCTCTCAGAACTGATGACGTTAGAGACTTATCACTTCCTCATTCTCAAGTTCTGGGTTTTTTACATGCAATGTACGGCTTCATGTCTGTTCTAATATTCGTGGAACGTATTTTTCTGTGACTGGAGAATTTTATATGGCTTAGTAGACTTGAGAAGTTTTCAATGCTAACAGGTTATCTGGTCTTAGAGAATTTTCTACTCTATTTTCTAGTTACATATGGACAATTGGCAAAGTTTACATCATCAGATCAAGTTAGACCCTATTTTAAGAAGGAGTCCGCGTGTGATTAGAACTAACACCACGCCAACAAGGGTTGTGGTGGAGTAGTAAGTACTTCTTCATTCTTAACAGAGGTCTCGGGTTCGAGTCCCCCATGGTACGGAGTTGCGTTTGTTAGGAAGCACTTTACCCCCCAATATGGGACTTCTCGGCGCGAATCCGGAGTTAGTCGGGCTCCAATGTGGGTACCAAACACCGGATGGGAAATAAAAAAGAACTAACAGCACATTATTGTAGAGACGCCAATCATAAGGATTCACTGGCATAGTTTACGTCCATCTTTCTCTGCAAAAACACACATCTCTCTGTTTATTTGTGTCTGAATTTCCAATACACCTATTGACGTTCTAGCCTACTAATGCTCCTAGTCAATAAGTATGAATTCATTCTTGTCCAATGTTAAGTTGCTCTCTAGGATTATGCCTTCACAGTTTTTCCTACTTTAATAGCTTTTCGATGACTAATTTCTTTGCTGTTTGTTATTCCTGCAGGTCCACAGATCTGTACAGATTCTGAGAGATAAGCAAGAACTTGCTGAAACTCAGAAGGAGCTGGCTAAGCTTCAGTTTGCGCAGAAAGAACCAGCTTCAGCGAACAATTCTCAGCAGAATGAGGACAGAAATGCTCAACCCGTGTCTGATTCCAATAAAGGTGACAACTCAACTGATGTGAATGGACAAGAACTGGCACTTGCTCTACCCCATCAAGTAGCACCCCGAGCTCCTCTTACTAACCAACCCGTCGAGCAGCCACAACAGGCACCTCCACAACCAATTCCATCTCAAAGTATGACGCAGTCACAAGGTTACTATTTACCCCCAGTGCAGATGTCAAATCCACCAGCTCCAACTCACTTGTCCCAAGGTCAATATCTTTCATCTGACCCCCAGTATCGAACTTCTCAAATGCAAGATCTTTCTAGGTTACCACCCCAGCCAGCAGCACCTCCGGGGAATCAGACCCCACAAATCCAGTCAATGCCCCAATATCAGCAGCAGCAATGGACGCAACAGGTACCGCAGCAGATTCAAGCATCCCAACAGGTTCAACAGCATCAGCTTCCAACTGTGCAACAGCAAGGTAGACCCTCATCACCTGCTGTTTATCCCTCTTATCCACCCAATCAACCGAATCCTTCTCCTGAACCGGTCCCCAATAGCATGCCAATGCAAATGTCATATTCTGCGATCCCTCAATCAGTTGCATGCCGTCCAGAAGCAATACCCTATGGGTATGACAGGTCTGGTAGGCCACTTCAGTCACAGCCTCCAACCCAGCATCTCAAGCCTTCGTTTGGTGCTCCAGGGGATGGGTATGCAACTAGTGGGCCTCATCCATCTCTTTCTGCAGGAAATGCATATTTGATGTACGACGGTGAAGGCCCAAGGGGACATCCATCACAACCACCAAATTTCCCACAAAGTGGTTATCCTCCCTCCAGCTTCCCTCCCCAGAACGCACAGTCCTCCCCAAGCCCCAATCATATGGTTCGTCCACCTCAATTGATGCGCACTCATCCTTACAATGAATTAATTGAGAAGCTGGCAAGCATGGGCTACAGGGGTGATCATGTGGTTAATGTTATCCAAAGGCTCGAGGAGAGTGGTCAGACAGTTGATTTCAATACTGTGCTCGATAGGCTGAATGGACATTCTTCAGGTGGTCCTCAAAGAGGATGGTCGGGTTAGGTCATTATCCCAAACCTTTCTAATCATGTTTTCATGTAGGGTCATGGGAAATTTGAAAATAGTGTAAGTGCAATTTGACTCGAATACTATCTATTTGCTGAATAAGGGTCATATAATTAGGCAGTTGACGATGATGTATACAGCACTATCATGCTGTGTATTGTAGATTTGCCATGTCTTACTTCTGAAGTTTTATTTGTTGTAAGGCAAAATGTTTTCAACATTGTAACGTAGGAGAATTGATGAATACCTCTTTTTTAAGATTTAACATCTTCTCTCATTCTTGTCCTTTGATTTAATCTTCGCTGTTCACCGTGAAAAGAAGTAGTCTTATTTGGGCCATTTGGCTACGCGTGGAAACCTATGCTGACGATATATATTTGGATATTTTTAACCCCATAACATGTGTATAAGCTCGTAATGAAGGACGTGATCTTGCTCATGCTCAGGAAGGTAAGAGAACACTATTAATATAAAAGTTTAGCTCCACCAGAGGGGTGTATGACCATATTCTTTAGTATTATTGAATTGTGTAAATTATCTTATAATATAAAAACTTTAACTATATATGATTTATATTGCTGCTAAAGCTGTAGAAAAGCAACTTGTTATTGGAGAATAAATTCTTAAGGGAATATTTTGAGACATTCTTTATAGTTGCTGGAAAAAAAAAGGGGATCATGTTAAATGAAAGCAAAATACTCCTGTTTTATGTATATAATTACATTGATTGAGGGCTCCATACTAGGATGGTTGCCCTATGCACCTAGTTGGAAACTTATCGATACATTAAAGCTCCCGTTATATGTTAGGTTTTTCAAAGGACCTGATCACATTGTGTCTATTCGATGCATCATTTTTACAAATATATAGATGCGTATTAAATTATAATATTTAGAAGATTTAGCATCTGGTGCTTATCAAAGGACAAACATGGTGGACACTAAATGTGAAGATTCTTGCCAAAAGTTGTTGGTAAATGGCACTCCATGTGGTTATTTAAAGAAATTAATTGGAATTTTTATAAATTAAATTAAGAGACAATGATAAAAAACAACACACTCGAAGTATCATTTTTTTTCTTCGAATTTCCAATATAAACTATCAAGTGTCCTTTTCAACTTGAATGATCATCAACTAGTTATCAAAACACGCCTTGAAATTAATGAGCCGGCTACCATGTGATGAAATTTTATGGGCAAATTAAGTTGTCACATGCACACTCCTTTCGACGATTGTATTCAAATACATGATGTAGTCAGTTTCAAGATGTATTTTGATGATAAATAGTTGATGATAATTCAGATAAAAAACACAAACACTCGATAAAGTGATACTTCAGATACATTTTTGATCATTATCTTTTTATATTATATTATATTATATCTTATCTATATATTGATAGAACTTGACACAAAGAAAGAGAAAGATAAGTTGGATAGAGATAAAAGAAAGAGAGATGAGAGGAATGAAAGGTGAAATTTTGCTTAACATCTCTGCAGAAAATGCATGGGAAATGTATAGGGATAATGATACAATTAGCAGAATTAATCCACAAATGCTTGCTAAAGCTGAATATATTAAAGGAAAAGGAGAGCCTGGCAGTCTCAGATGTTTCCAGCTTGGTCCTGGTAAGTCTTTAATAAAACCCGATTTACGATAAAAAATTTACTTACATCTGGTGTTTGTACAAAGGCGGATTTAATTATAGATTTGCTTGAATCACTTACTTGCATCTGGTGTTTGTACAAAGACGGATTTAGAAGTCTGATTATAGATTTACGTGAATCTGGTAATTTTTGTTCACATCTTACATATATATTAAAGAATCTATTAAATATTTGATTGTAAATTCAGTGATTATTGTAGTATTAACTTGAGGTCGTTATAGGAACCTATAATCTTGAAATTCTGAATTTGTTTTTGTGTTTGTCCGAAGTACTGAATGAAAGACGTGTTTGCATATGATTTTTTTTTTTACAAGTAATCATGGTTGGTTTGAGAAATAGGTAATCTTACTTTAATTTGTACCAACGGCAACAAATAAATTATTTGATTTGGTGTAAATAATTGTGAAAGTCTTGATTATTTACCTAGTCTTCTAGGTTAATCCAGGATAAACTGTTACTCTTAATTTCAATTTGTTTGTTTGATTTTGATTTAATATAGATTTTAAGTGTGTTTATTTTATTTTTTTAATGTTAATTTGTTTGTTTGATTTTGATTTAATAATTTTAAGTGTGTTTATTTTTATTTTTTTAAGAGGCGAATTCAAGATTTAAAGTTTATCAATAGTTTCTACAGTAACCTCGTGATCAAGTTAAAACTATACCACAAAAATAGGGTAAATCATATTTATATATATGTATAAAGTCTAGGCCAAAAATTATTAGGTTGACGTGAACTCGTAAGTAACAATGTAGATTTGCTCCTATAAGGGTGAAATCAGGGTCATCAAAAAATTACACTATAAGGGTGAAATAGGATCATCAAAAAATTACACTATATGTATAAGGTTGAAATTATTTATTTATGTATATAGAGTTACCTCTTTATATATATCGAACCCCATTAGTAATAATTTTGATTCTGCCACTGCACCTTTTGTAACACAAATATTTTATGCAACATTGAGCAACTTTGTCAAGCATCAATCGTACATGTTGAATCCCTTCGATTTCTTTGTCTATTTACCTCTTTATATTTTGAACCCTATGATAATGATTCTGGCTCCGTCATTGCGCATATAACACAAATATTTTATGCAGCATTAAGCAACTATGTCAAGCAATCAATAGAAAAGATAGAGAAGGTGGAAGAGGGGAGGTCAGTGACATATCAAGTCACTGATGGTGATTTGAAGAAAATGTATAATCCATACAGAGTTACCTTCTCTTTCATTCCTGTGAGCAATGAGCAATGTGTAGCAGAATGGAAAGCAGAATATGAGCCAATTGCACCTACAATTCCTACACCAGAAAAGGCAAGAGATGCTGCACTATCATTTCTCAAATTATTTGGAAAAATAGAGAACCAAGCTCTGTAAAACAAGGAGTTGATATCTCAGATGGTCGTTCAACTAAAAGCTATTATCTCAGAAGAACGGTGATTTTTTGAGATAATAACTATTAACTGAATGGCTATATGAGAAATCAGAAGCGAATTCAGGATCTAAGCTTTGTGAGTTCAAGCTTTAAGGTTTTTAGTATACAAGTTGTTGTGTGTTTTTAAAGTTGTGTGTTTATATTGGGTTCAGATGAGTCTGGTACTGTGTCGTCCGTTTATGAAATTTACGTTGTGTAAGAGTAAAGAGGTCATTTTGTTACATGTACTATCCAAAATGATCTCGCTAAATAAGCAGAGGTGGTGAATACATGATGTGAAGTTCATGAGCTTCTGCAGATTATATTTCAAGTTAATAATAATAATTGAATTTATAGTCAAATATTTGATGGATTTCTTAATATGTATACATGATTTTGACCCTCAAATAGATGGATTTGGGAATGATTATGGAATTGATCATAGAAAATCGAAGGCAGACAAGAAGATAAGGTAGTTGAGTAGTCACCTAGAGGAGGTTTTTCGACTAGATCAATGGATGCGATTTTTCCTTCCCACGGAAATAACTATGTATTTTGTGAATATTAATTAAATGTCATTGTGTTTCTTTTCTATCGATTAAATTAAATAGTTCCAAATTAAGCCTTCTAAAACTAAGAGTTGATGTCATATTGGATGATCTCTATAGGTCTAAGATTTGGGATCACGTGAACTTGTAACTTATAAGCATCTCCATTTTCTACTAATATAAATTATAATTCGTGGTGTGTATGAGTTCGATTTTGCAATATTTTATTGGATTTAAGTTAGTATTGTATCATACTTGCAATTTATATACACTCATATATCTTCATTTTAACTTTAATCTTAAAAAAATTCTTCTAATTAGAAAAAAAATATACATTTTACAGTAATTTTTGGTGCATCAGTTTCATCTGTAAAATGTATATTATTCTTGTTTTTTAATCTTTTGCAACAGTGTGTTTTCACAAACTTATATAGAGGAAGAAGAAAGACTAAATTAGGTTAATAAGCCTGGATTATTTCAAATTTAAACGCGTAATATTACGATTCAAATTGTAACCTCTTGACTATTGAACTGCTCTAATAAATTGAGCATGATTAAGCAATACAATCACATGATTGAGTTTCAAATTAGTGACCATAAAAACAAGTTGCTCCTATTTCATCTTGTAATTCAATTTTCTATTATTACGTAATTAGTCAAATCAACATTAGATTAACATTAGCCTAATTAGTTTTAGATAGTTTATTATAGTTAGATATTTATCGTGGACCATGACATAGATGGGCTTATAGGAGCAATGTTCAATTTCCGGCCCATGAATACATGATCATTTGGAACTTGAGAACATTAGCCCAATTATGTTTTTGAACTTCATCAAATGGTTCGGGTTGAGACTTTCTAGTTGCTCTAAAACAATTAGGAGATTTTCTAGAAGAAATATGAGATTTCGAAGAGCTTTGGAAGGTTCTTTAACGTGATCTTATTTCTGAAGGCTTAAAACACAAATTTAAGAACTCAATCCATCTTTTTAAGCGTTTATAGGTTAAATAATAATTTGAGATTCATCAGTACTATAAGACTTGTTGGTACGGTTTGAATTAGAACTCGAGGGGCTCAAGGGTGATTCAATACCATTGAAACTCATATCGATGTTGTAAATTATGTTTCGCGATCGCTTAAAAGAGGGCCGCAACCACATAAGAGGTCATTTGTGCAAATATCCAAATTTAATATTCTCCCTTGCCTAAAATTTGGCGCAAAAATTTCAACTCAAAATTCACAACAGGGCGGTAGATATTTGGCGGCAAACGTTCCCGCTAAATATTTTCCCTCCATTGCAGCTCACAGTGAAGCACTATATATAAATCTTGCGCCACCCAATCCATTTTCATCTAAATCTCAGTTTCTTCACTCACAATCTCTCAATTTTTTGTTAATTTTTGGGTTATCATGGTGGTAGCATTAGGTCCCGGAAAGTTCTACGGCAGCAGCTTACCAAGGCCGCGGTTTTACGAAAACCCAAATGGAGAACGGGTCGATCCACCAGTATCTGTTTTGGATCCGTTTTTGTCATGGGCTGAGGAAGCTCATTGGTCAATGGGGGGTTTGAGCTTCAAACGCCTCCGTCTTCAGGGACGGATCGAAGGTAACATCAAGAAACTCAGAGCTGAGTGTGAGAAGATCGAGAAGAAATCGGTGGGTGAGAAGAAGAAGTCGGTGAAAAAGGGTTCGTTGTCGTCCCCGGTGGTTCATGTAAGTCCATCTCCTCCTCCTGCTCCATTGAATTTGAAGAGGAAAATGCAATTGGTTGATGAATCTGATGATGAAAATGAAGAAATGGGGGTTGAGGGGAGAGTAGAAAAAAGGGGTCTAGCGAGGAAATTGGATGTTGATTTTGATAAAGTTGCTGAGAAGAGTGATGGGATAGTGATGGGGAGAACAAGGAGTGGAAAAAATAAAGAGGCTATAGTTGAGAAAATGGTGAAATTGAAAACTAAAGGTAGAAGATTGAAGAAGGGGTCTGAGAAGAAGAGCGTATCAGTGACACCAAATGCAGCAAGAACTTCACCGAGATTGTTGAAAACGTAGGTTGCCTTGAAGGTGTTTGATAATTTGTGTCAATGAATGAAACTTTCAATAGTACAGTGTTATTAAGTGTGTTAGCTTTGAAATGTAGGTTGGATTATTGTAGTAAGTTATTAATCTTGATAAGATGAATGAAAATTGAAACAATCCAGTTGTTGAATGCTTTATAATTGATTGTCTTTGGTGCGTGGTTCTTTGTGCAGATCATATACTATATTAAGAAAAATGTGAGAAATTTTGAATCTTAATAGTCTTCATTATAAGTTGTGTAATGTTCTAAGATGTTATTTGAATCGTATGATCTTTAATGAGCCTTAAATTGAGATGTTCTTTGAATCTTGTAATCTTTAATGATGCTTAAATTGAGATAGAGGGAATAGCTTTATGTTTTTTGAACTTCTCAAGCTAGAGGCAAAAGAAGATGCCATCAAAATTGTAGTAATTCTAATAAAGTTTTGATTTTACCCTTCCTGATTTTGAAGAGATTTTTACACTTTTATGCTTGGTTTCTAGTCCTACCAATATGAGTATCATTGGGCTTTTTTGATGAACTCTTTCCATTCTTGATAGTCGTGGATTGTGTGGTTGAGGAAGTACTCTGTTAGAATTGTTCAAGTGAAGTTTTGGCCTTTCAAGTTTGTATGGTTAGGGAGTCAATTGTGGAATGAGTTATAGTATGTGTTTTAGAGTGAATTGTTTTGGTGATCGTGTGATTGAGGAAGTGCTTCATTAGAGTAGATTGATCGCTCGTCTTATTTACACCCTTTTCTTAGTGAGTGATTCATGTCTAGTCCTTTGGGGTCGCTTGACTTGGGTGAGAAGTTCCCTTCCCTTCTCTAAAATGCCTGAGGGGCTGAAGTTTGGTTGACTCTTTTCTTCCCATTTGGGCTGGGTTGATCTAGAAGTACAGTAAGAAGGAATGGAAGTTGTTCGAGTGAAGTTAGTTGTAGTATGTGTTTTAGAGGTTGTTAAGTGTTGATGTTCTTGTTCAGTTTGTGTGATGTTTATCCTGTGTGGAGGCTTGTATGAAATCGATAATTGTTGCTGAAAACTTGTGATATGTGAGTAATTGCTCGAGCTAGGGGCTATGTGACTTATCCTTATATTTGATATTGAGATGCTCGGGGAAAAAAATGTATTTCAAATTCAATAGAGATAAAAGAAGTGTTCAACTTAATGCATACTCTTCTTTTGTGTTTTCTATATTTTGCTTTTGGCATGCTAAGCAAGGAATCTAACAGGGTGTAAAGTTAGGGAACAACGAGAGAAATGAACAACACACACTGAGGCTAACAAGTAAATGTTCCCAAAAGAGTGAAAATGCCATTATTTTCTCTTACTTTTTGTCCCTCTCACAAGTAAGTGGTGGATATACACTTATGGTACAACAAAACTCAATAATCTTGTATTTGTGTTAAAAGATTATGGCTCATAAACCTATAAAATTAAAATCTTGAATATGCTTCGATCAAAAATAAGTATTCTGCACCTTCCCTTATAATGGGGGCGGAGCTAGGGCTGGGATATCCAAATCCTCTTTATTGAAAAATTATACTTACAAGGTCAATATTATTTTGTTATGTATATTTAGTAGATATTACACTATATTAACTTCTTCGATTGTAACAATATTTTAAACAACCAAATCATAAAAAAAAAACCCACTAAAATCTTGAAAAATAACATAATATTAGAAGTTAAGTCTATATCTATCTCCTTTTAAATTGACAAGTAAGGCTTACTCGAGTAATTGAGATACTCCACCATCGATCAATATGTTGAGGGTTTAAATTATGTTATTATAAATGAGAACATTATTGATCGTCCTATCAGAACAAGATATTAGTTAAATTAATGTCATTTACCTATTCGCCTGTATCCCACAAACCACATCAAATAACAAAACAAGAGCCACACAAAAGAGCAAAATCCAAATCCAAATCTCCATGGCTGAAACTAAACAACAACAAGAAGAACCTCCCCTGTTTCCACCATCATCAACCTCTTCTTCCTCCTTCATGCTTCTCTTGAAAAACCTTATGAGCAAAAGACGAACATGGGTCTTCCTCTTTCTCACCGTCTACACAATTTTACTGTCAATTTCTTGGAATTTCCTCAATTCAGTACTTTCTTGGTACGAATCCACCATGAAATTGACACCCACTTCAGCTCTCTACGGATCTATGATATTAGGGCTTGCGTTTGGGGTTTTATCGATTGTAGCAGCTCTGATCGTCGTTGTTCCAGCAACGCTTGTAACTTGGATCACTATTTTGGTTTTGCTCACATTTGCAGGTAAAGGGAGAAGGGATTTGGTTATGGAGGGGAAGAAATTGACGGCTGAGATTACTGGGTTTGTTGTTAGGGTTTTGATTAGAGAAGGGAATCTTGTCGCTGTGATTTGTGCTGTTCTTGGGTATTTTGCACTTGTTAGAAGGAATAAAGAAGATGGTATTGATTATTGAGTTTGAAAAATCGAGTTCTCCTTATGATCATAAGCTTGATCACAGAGAAATAGTTGGTTGACTATCTGAACTTTCAGCTTATTGGTAAGAGTTCGATTCATCATCTAGTAATCCTTTCCCGTACCCCATTAAGAGGGTCTAAATCAGGGGTACTTGTTGTATCGCAGGGGTTTGAATTAGCTCCTCTCGAGATGAAAGAAAAGATTGGCAATTTGCCTTTGGATGTACCTATTCTATCTTAACTTTAGCTGCTTAGAAACCTAAACGATTGATGTTTTTCCCCGTCTTCCCTAATCATGCTCTTATTTTATTGGAGGGGGTTTGAATTAGCTCCTAAGATTGGCAATTTATCTTGTTCAACCTCGGAATGTGATGAGCTATTCTATCTTAACTTTAGCTGCTCAAAAATTCCCGGACCAATTTACCTATTTGGAATTCTTCAGCTACCAACCCTTAAGCGAGCTAATCAGTCTTGCTTTTGCCAAAAAAATCCCTCCTCCCTATTCTGTTTATCGACTTTTGCTGCAATGATATTAGTACAGATAATTGTTTGCTTGCTGGAAACTTCGACTACTATACTCCTTCAACACTACGATTACATTTCTAGTAATCGTTCCTTGATATTGATTTCATCGTACAGTATTGTTAATCTGGTCTAGCATATGGAGGAGGCCTTTGATTGACAGAAAGTAATCATATGGAAGTCGGTTGTTTTGCCTCACATCGCCCTTTCAAGACATCTCAGGACGACACAGCCTGAATTTTGAGGGATTTGGGGACTCATTCATTCAGAAATCAGAAAATTTGATAAAGATTCAATCTTTGAGCTTCTGTTAGATTAGCTACAAGGGTGTAAGCATAAGTTAGAATTGGTAGCTTTCTAACAGTAGAAATGGTACATGTTTCTGCAATGTATGTGATGCATATATATAAAATATATATTGGAAAACGGATAGTATTTTACCAGATACTTGTGCTGATGAAAGGTAACGAGATATTTTGCACACTAACTGTTTTTGAGTATTTACATGTCGTTGCATGATTTGAGACTTCATATCGGTTCATGTAATGTTTTTAAACTGATTTGTATGCTCGAATTGGAACCCGAGAAGATGAGGGTGTTTCTGCACCATTTGAATAGCTCAAATTGTAAATTTTCTGGTGCTGGTGCCTTCTTCAGAAACCAAAATTTGAAAAGCTTATTGGAAATTCCTTTGTCTCCTTAAATAGTGGTGAAGTATGGTCATTCTCATAGGTGAAGTCGGGATTTGAAGTTTATAAATTCTAAATCTTTCAATGACTCACATGCCTTTTTTTACCATGGTACTAAGACGAGATATGATTTTCTATCAACAAGGCGCGGTACTAGTTATTCCGTTACTTTTTCAAGTATTATCAGGTCACTAACTTCCTTGACCATTCTACGCTGAAAGGATGCTCATTCTCAGAAGAGGATTCATACCTGATCATTTCTTAATCAGTAATGGACTAAGGGTATCTCAAATCCTATTTGATACAATAAAGAATAAATCCCTACTCGCGAGGCAAATCCTACGATAAATGGTGTTTCATGTAAAACACCACTTGTCATGAAATAAAACGAAAAAAGTGAAAGGTAAGAGAAAATTTTGAACATTATGAATTTTGAGATAGACTCAATAGAAATTGAAAGGAAAACCTAATCAAAAGGGAAGAAGCAACAAGATCTTTCTTTTGTCCCTTCCAGGCGATTGGAAAAAAAAGAAATGGTTAATATATTCAAGATATTATGCATTTATAAAATACCATCTCAATTCATCCTATTTCATCAGATTCAGAATGGTTTAAAAGGAAGGGAGTACAAACTATTTTGATTTAACTTATAGTCCAACACTTTGTAAATACAATACAGATAACTTTATACAAGTGACACTGCTTGTATTCACTTGCATTAAGGGTCTCGAATTCAAGTTCTGAAAATGAAAAAAAGTCCTATTAAAAGCATCACATCCAGAGATAAGCCCTACAATACGCAAATTGAAATGAATTGAGTTTCAATACGAATATTAAATATTGAGAAAAAAAAACACTCCTAACATGTCACACAGAAGTAAAAGTTTCTTATTTATCAAACAACCAATATTTACAAATCTGCTAACTGTCGGTGGTGGAATCATATTTAATTCACCACAACCCATTATGATATTATTCAATTAAGTACTTTTTCCATTCCAAATTAATAGTTACAATTGTAGTCATATGTGTAACCTGATGATCAATGAAATAGATTGAACATGGTGAAGTTTTAGATTCAAATTCTAGCAAAGACGAAATATAAGGTGATTGCTTCTCATATGTTTTAGCATTACTAGACCGAAATATTAAATACCTATTGCTAATGGAAGGTGACAAATATCTCTTGAAATTAATTAACGTGTGCATAAACTAGATAAAGAAATATACTCCTCAAAATAAAATTACTCTACAAATTTAAGATTAAAGTTCATAGGATTTTTCAAGGGATAAGGGTCTGAAAAATACCTCAACTTTGGCCAAAATTGCTGTTATGATACCAAACTTTATGGAGGACCTATTATCCCCCTGAACTATTTATTAGTGTATTTTGTACCGCTGAACTATTTAATAGTGTATTTTAAAGGTATATGTGTGCCCACGTGGACACATTACTATTTATAATTTTGCATTATTTTTTATGTCCACGTGAGCAAATATATATGTTTAAAATACGGTATTAAATAGTCTGGGGGTAATAGGTCCTCATTAAAGTTTGGTATTGTAACAACAATTTCGGCCAAAGTTGGAATATTTTTCAAATCCTTATCCTTTTTTCAACAAACATCATAGAGTATGGTTCTAGCACCATGCCAAATGTGTCCGAAGAAGAAGAGCAAAGCAAACGAAGCATGCCCAAAAGTAAACCAACCCCTTGGACTGCTACGAAAACACCATCGGATTTCAAAGTAGCACGATCTAATTCGAAAATTTCACCCAATTGAGCACGTCTAGCATATTTTTTCACAGTAGCAGGATCACTATAACTGAAGCCGTTGAGTTCACAAAAAAGAAAAAGATTATCTAAGCCGAGCCATTTCACAAAAAATACAATTTTTACTTCATATTCTTATCTTTGAAATAATAATCAAAATAATAATATCATTGAAATAAGAAAGAAGATAAATATTCGAACTTGAATCTTTTGTTTTCGAATTTAAATAATGTAAAAATGGAATGTAAGTAGGCGAGGGGGCGGATGTAGCCAAGTGGATCAAGGCAGTGGATTGTGAATCCACCATGCGCGGGTTCAATTCCCGTCGTTCGCCCATAATTCATAAATATGAGATATTAGACAGGTTAAGCTTATCAATTTTTTTTAATAAATGATTGGCTACAAAGGGATTTTTTTTTAGTGAACGTGTCACAAGCTTACTCCTATTCATCTCCTGGATAAGCTTCACGACCGGGTATCAAATGGGCTATATCAAACTCGCATGCCCAGTAACCCATGTGTGGTATTTAAAACGTCTTCCTAGTTATATTGCGAATCTTTTAGATAAAACATTTCGCCGTCCAGTAGCGACGACTGTCTTTTTGATTGGTACCGCAGTCGCCCTTTGGTTGGGCATTGGTGCGACATTACCTATTGATCACAATTTCTAAGAAAAAAATGCAATTTACTTTTATTAAATAGGTACACTTTTATTGTAATTTATTTTAAGTCCAATATGTTTTTGTTGATGTTGTAAGACTCATGATGATAAAATAATTGTTAGAGAATAATGATGATACTTTTTATAGTAAGTTGGAGAAGCATCATTCCTTCTTTGGTAAGGAGTATTTCTATGAAAGAATTATTTGTTTGTTATAAGGATAATATTATTTTTTATCTCCAAGTTATTCATAATGTTGTTTTGTTTTTTGTGATATATGATTAAATGTATTTATTGTTTAGTTAATTATGAAGTATGTATTTTTGGCCCCATTACAGAAGAAATATATTATATTTGACTATTTATAAAATTACATTATCATCAAAATAATTAAATAGTGAAGCGATAAATAATTATGATAAATTTATAACACAAAAGAATTACAACTCATTCGGTTGAAGGTTTAATATAATTAATCAGTTATCATATCGACTAATTAAAATTTATCATTAATTGAAGGATTTAAGAAAAAACTATTAATTCTTTATTAATAATTAAGAATATCTGACCCACAAATGCTGTATTTCTTATGATTTTCAATCAATAATTATGAATTTATTTGAAACTTTGAGTTGGAATAAAACAAAATCAACCACTATGATTAGAAATTGAAATATGATTAATCCATTTAAACAATGGATATAGGTGGACTATAGTTTTCAATATTATCAAATCGAGAAGATGTATTATCACAAACAATTATTTAAACTGCTAGATGTTTATAGTATGATCAAGAGGCATAATTACTCCTCAAAGTTGTTTCAAATTTACAATTAGTAAATACTTACATACTTTGCGAGAGGAACATATTACTTGTCTCAGTTATTTTGAAAATAGTAAACTCTATAAATATCATTACTATATAATATGCTTTAAGTGTTGACATACCACGCTTTGACATCTGTATTTTTCGCTTAATTTTTTTTCCTTCTATTTTCACCCCCACCTTCACCTATTTTAAAAAATAAAATAAATTCTTACTTTTTCTAAATAGAATGTGAAACCATAAAAAAAGTAAAATTTTCTTGCTTCAATGACTAGATATACCAAATAGAAAAGGTTGATACATTTCATACTTTTAGAAAGATTAATTATTAAAAAAAAACAGTGTTCTTAGTTTTGTCGTAAATCAATTATGTGAATGAATATAAGCTTCATTATTATTTTAAAAATAATAATTATCGAATGTGATTTTAGAGAAATGAGTATGTAAGTGGGCATCCGAACGAGAAAGTGATCATACATGACGCAATTATTCCTAAGTTTAATAATATAGGATCTTAAGTAGGTGTGAGAGGAAAAAACACGTAAATTATTAATGGTATATGAATCTATTTATCAGTAATGAATTGCGGGCCACCTTTTATTTTAGGAGAGAAAAAAAAAACGATCATCTAATAATTGACTATAGTTATGCATATATTAATAGTGCAGAAATTAGTTATGAAAGAATCTATTTATTATTTTATGCCGAATGTAAGAATCATTTGATGATTAGTTGGAATTATAAAAGGTATTAGTAACACATGATTTATACGTCATACTCTTTTTAAATTTCATCCTTCAAATTTGTGATATTTGACATGGAATGGAAAATTTGAAGTCTGCTAACTGTCGGTGGCCATTGACTTTACACTTTTTTATTCCTTTGGTCAAAAAAGATATATATATATATATATATTCAAGAATGTGACCTAGTAATTAGTGATATAACATTATGAGGTTTCAGATTCGAATTCTAGCAGAGACAAAATGCAAGATGATTACTTTTCATCTGTTCTAGCATTGCTAAACAATATTATCAAATATCGATTGCTGATGAAAGATGATAAATATCTCTTAAAATTAATCAAGATGCGCGCAAACTAGATAATCATTTTAACTCAGAAATATTTTCTCAAAATAAAATTACTCTAGGAATTTAAGATTAAAGTTTTTTCAACAAACAATAAAGAGTATGCCCCAAGGAAAAAAAATGCAATTTACCTTTATTAAATAGGTACACTTTTATTGTAATTCATTTTGAGTCTGCAACAAACATATATACACCTATTTAATTTAGCAATAAAATATGTTTTTGTTGCTGCTGTAATATTCATGATGATAAAATTATTGTTAGAAAATGATGATATACTTTTTATAGCAAGTGGGAGAAGCATCATACCTTGTTTGGCAAGTATATTTCTATTAAAGAATTATTTTGTTTATTATAAGGATAGTATTATTTTTGATCCCCAAGTTATTGATAATTTATAAAATTATACTATTATCAAAGTAATTAAGTGGTGAAATGATAATTAATTATGATAAACTTACAAATATCCTCACACAAAAGGATAAAAAAATGCACATCTCGATCATGATCACTTGAAGGTTTAATATGCTTAGTTAAATATTATAACAATTAAAATTAAAATTTATCATTAATTGAAGGACTAAAATTACTATTAATCCTTTATTATATTATATATATCCCATTTAGAAGTTGTAAGAAAATCTGACCCACAAAGGCTGGGATTTCTTATGGTTTTTCAATCAATAATTATGAATTTATTTGATACTTTGAGTTGGAATAAAACAAAATCAACCATTATGATTAGAAATTTAAGTATGATTAATCCATTTGAACAATGGATATAGGTGGACTATGGTTTTCAATATTGTCTAATCGAAAAGATGTATTATCACAAATAATTATTTAAATTGCTGATTATTTTTAAGGATTTAAATATAGATGTTGATAGTAATGAAAAAAAAGGCATAATAACTCCTCAAAGTTTTTTTTTTTCGAATTTTCAATTTGTACATACTCACATACGTTGCAAGAGGAACATATTACTTGTCTCAATTATTTAAAAAATATCATTATTTTTAATATACTTTTAAGTAGTGACATACCACGCTTTGAAACATGTATTTTTTCGCTTTCTATTTTTACCCACTCCCCACCTTCACCTTTTTTTAGAAAAATAAATTCTTACTTTTTCTAAATAGAATGTGAAACCATAAAAAAGAAGTAAAATTTTCTTTAGTGGAAAAAATATTTGCTTCAATGACTAGCAGAAAAACCGCCTACAATAGGCCATGATTGAAGCAAGACTTCAAGTACCAATGTTGATTTTTTTCCCCAAAATAAAAATAGAAAAAATCAACTTGTTTATAATAAAAAAAAATGCAACACTTAAATTATATAACGTACATGTAAAATATATTTGAAACTTGGCCTACACTTTTGAAGTTACGAGATAGTAATAATATTTGCATACATTCTATTTTCTTTTATTCTATTTCATTGAATATGTTATTGTTGTTGATAATAAAGATGATTCTTTTCTTTAAAATTAACTTAAAAGAAAAATGTGTCACATAAATTGAAACGGATAGAGTAACATTTTATACCTCAGCATGTACAAATCAATTAATTAATACATTGGGTTTAGATTCTTTTATCTTACTACACCCATAAATCACGTACATAACGCCTATCAGAAACAAAATCAAGTTAGGCCCCCCAAACCCACCCACCCCCACACATGTGATGCAGTTTCATGTTGGGTATCTTGATTTTTCAAATTGATAAACTTTGTCTGTGCTTCAAGTACTGGTTTTGTCACTCTTTCAGAGAAGGGGATCTGACTGTTCTTGAAAAAAAAATCACAAAGTCCCATTTATTGGGGGAGCTAAGGAGATCCCAGGTACAATTTTTTTTATAAAAAAATACAATCTTGGTATTCTGTATTACATTAAATTCTTCATTTTTATAGTATAAAGTTTCAATCTTGGTTTATGGGTTTCATAAATTTTTCATTTTTATAGTATAAAGTTTCAATCTTGGTTTATGGGTTTCATAAATTTTTCATTTTTATAGTATAAAGTTTCAATCTTGGTTTATGGGTTTCATAAATTTTTCATTTTTATAGTATAAAGTTTCAATCTTGGTTTATGGGTTTCATAAATTTTTCATTTTTATAGTATAAAGTTTCAATCTTGGTTTATGGGTTTCATAAATTTTTCATTTTTATAGTATAAAGTTTCAATCTTGGTTTATGGGTTTCATAAATTTTTCATTTTTATAGTATAAAGTTTCAATCTTGGTTTATGGGTTTCATAAATTTTTCATTTTTATAGTATAAAGTTTCAATCTTGGTTTATGGGTTTCATAAATTTTTCATTTTTATAGTATAAAGTTTCAATCTTGGTTTATGGGGATTCAGCATTTTTCATATTTATAACATAAAGTTTCAATCTTTGGTTTATGGGATTTCAGCATTTTCTCAAGTTGGATCTCCAAAGAGCCTTCTCCATTTTTTTCCCTTTTTACCATTTCTTGAAATGGTTCAATCACCTATGAGCAGAAAGCTAGCAAGAAATGGTGGCCTGTTTTATCCAGTCATTGGGTTTGCACTGTTTGTTACTTTTCTTTATTTGGCATTTGGAGACTTGTGGGGTTTCAATTTCAACAGAGAAGAAATAAAGTTAAGTTTTGTGGAGAGAAATGGAACTCAATTCTTTGTGGATGGTAAAGCTTTTTACATAAATGGATGGAATTCTTACTGGTTAATGGACCATGCTGTGGATTATAGTAATAGACCAAGGATTAAAGGGATTTTACAAGCTGGTGCTAAGATGGGGCTCACTGTGTGTAGAACTTGGGCTTTTAATGATGGTGGATACAATGCTCTGCAGATTTCCCCTGGTAGATTTGATGAAAGAGTGTTTAGAGTAAGTAAAACTTGCTTTTTTAAGTTCAATTTCTATAATTGTTACTTGTGTGTTTTGCTTTGGTAGATTTGATGAAAATGTGTTTAGAGTAAGTTAAACTTGTTGTTTAGTACAATTTCTTTAATTATTACTACCCCTCTGTTTCAATTTGTTTGTCCAATTTTTACTTGGTACGGAGTTTAAGAAAGTAAAGAAGATTTTTAAATCTCATGGTCTTAGACACATCATGTGGAAATTTGAAATTTAAGAGTTGCTAGAAAAGGAAAGATGCATTCTTTTTTGAACAGACTAAAAAGGAAAGTAACACAAACAAATTCGAATGGAGGGAGTACTATATGTCTTTTAATTTGTTGAAAGTGTGTTTAGAGTAAGTAAAACTTGTTAGTACAATTTGTGTTATTTTACTGCTGTCTTTTATATTGGTAGTTTAACCCTTTATAGCAATCTTTCCATAATTATTGCTCCTACTCAAGACCATTTACATTGAATTGTAGTACCGTATTTGTATAAAGGAAGTTTAGTTATAGGACTTCTAAATTCTTGTCAAGTACGTAAATTTTAAGTTATCTGATCTAATCTAATGTTAATATATTTTAAGAAGGAAAAGGGAGGACCAGTGTACGAAGCTTCCCGCATTTTTTGTGGGGTCCAGGAAGGACCGCATCTTGAGGGGGTGTGATGTAGGCAGTCTACCTTGACGCGACCATCATTGGCTGATTGTTTAATCTTGTAAATTAGGCATAGTGTTGCTATCTTAAAAAAAAAACTAGCCTGGTTTACGAAGCATCCTGCATTTATGCGGGGTCTGGGTGAGGGCCACACTCCAAGGGTGTGTGTTGTAGGCAGCCTACCCTGTCACAACCATCAATGCCTGATTCTTTGATCTTTTAATCTAGGCATACTGCTACTAAGATTTATATGGTGTATGAATCATCTGCATTTTTATCTCTGTCTGACAGTTTTCACTTGATGCGGATATGTTTTGTTGCAGGCATTGGATCATGTTATTGCAGAAGCCAGAAAGAATGGCATTAGGTTGATGCTTAGCTTGGTTAACAACCTGCACGCATTCGGGGGGAAGACTGAGTATGTAAAGTGGGCAGAGAAAGAAGGTGTTGCTTTAAGCTCTTCCAATGATTCATTCTTCTATGACCCTACCATCCGTCGATATTTCAAAAATTATGTCAAGGTAATTTTCCTAGAATATTCTTCAGGAAAAACTTGCATCTTGCGCTATGTCCGTGTTTCCAAATATAGCATACCTCTAATTGTTGAACAGGGAGCAAGCAAATATACAGTTGATCGAGATAAATCTTGTTATTTTCTTCTGTCACAAGTGTTGCATATGGAATCAATGAATCACATGTAATTATCTAAATTAGTGCCTCCACTCTGAGAGTTTCGCTGAACATGAAATCAGGAGATCTATGTCTCAAAAGACTGAAAGACAAGAATACAAGATGAAAATGAAAAAAAAGTTGTAATTAAAGAAGAGGAAATAGAAAGATATTTTGGTTTGTTGGAAGTTGAAGGATGCGTAGAAGGAAGATTGACATATTACCAATATTTATGCCCATCATAACTTTATTACATTAAAAAAGGAGTTAAAAATTCTGTTGCTCAGACCCTCCCAAAATGCTGTTGCTTGCATGTCAAACCCTCCGAAAAGGCATATCTTTTGGTGGATCCGACACACCCCCAACGGTATTATTGAAGAGTCCGAGCAACATAGGTGCAAAGTCTTGTTATGTACTTTTACCTATTTTTGGCTAGCTTATTGTGTGTACATAATTATTCAGTTGTTTCATTTATTTATTGCCTGTCATAACATGCTATAAGGAGAGAATGAATAGCTTTCGCGTTAGGCCATGCCATGATTGAAGCCATCTTTTTGCTCTTTCCTCTGCAGTTATTAATGCTAAAATTACATTTTTGTAAACTTCTGACCCGTGTCATCGTTCTTTTTTCATTCTCCCAGACAGTGCTAACTAGGAGAAACATATACACTGGGATGGAGTACAGGGATGATCCAACTATCTTTGCATGGGAGTTAATAAACGAGCCTCGCTGCATGACCGATCCTTCTGGTGACACACTTCAAGTAAGTTTTAAACTCTCTTCTCATTTTGATGTCATAGTACCTGACACTCTGACAGAAAAGTAGTCCTTCATTTGAGTAGCTATTCATTTCTGTTATCTGCTCTCCGAAGTTTGGGCTGTCACTTTATATTTTAGAAAGTTGCATTATGAGATTTAAAAGACAAATTGTTGAGTAGTGGAATGAAACAAGTCTAGTTCGGAATTGAGGCGTAGTTGTTGTTTGTAATATTATGAATGTTTACCATTATCAAATCATCATCCGTCTGGATACTTCATGCACATGAAAACGAGAGTTCCATTTAGCAATTCTTGCCTCCAACATTTCTTCTCGTACGAATTATGAAAGACAATGTCAAAATTTTATGCTTGCTTATGTTGATCTGTAGCAACACTTACCAGAAGATATCCACTAGTAATCCCTCCTAAACTTTGTATTATAGCATTGGCATGATACATAAACAAACACTCAAACTTGGCCTCAGCTGACAAGTAAGCACTCCAACTTTGAGAGTGCAAGTCTGGACACCTCACTTGTCTTCATTGAGTCAGTTGAACGCTCCAACTTACAAAATGATCATTTAGACACGTCCAAAATTTATGTGCCACGTCAGTGTTGGTGTTCACAAGACACAGTGAGGATGAGTTGGAGTGTTTAATCTGAGGGTATCTTGTTTTTGTTTGACTAATTAATTGTGAAAAAAGGGAACTTCTCTTATGCCTCCTTACCTTCAACTGGATATGAATTAATCGTGTTAAAGAATTCTGCAGGACTGGATAGAAGAGATGTCAACATTTGTGAAGTCGATTGATAGGAAACATCTGCTTACTGTAGGCCTAGAAGGATTTTATGGCCGTAAAAGTCCCAAAAGATCAAGTGGCAATCCGGAATTTTGGGCTGCTGATCTTGGATCAGATTTCATCCGTAACTCCATGCTCTCGACGATTGATTTTGCCTCTGTACATGTATATCCAGACCATTGGTGAGCTTTTTATCATACTCAACTTTCTTAATTTGTGACAAACAGGAAAAGATGAATTCTTTTCGTGCAGTGCTAACGATTTTATAACTATCTTTTAATACCGAACTTTCCCTTTTCTTATCGAAGTCTGCTGCTTCAGAGCATTTTCCTGTTTGACATCCTTTCATTTTGTAGGTTCCATGATAAAAAATTCGAAGAAAAACTAAAATTTGCAGCCAAATGGATGCTTTCTCACATAGAAGACGGTGACAAGGAACTGAGAAAACCGATCATGTTCACTGAATTCGGTTTGTCAAATGAGAACGAGGACTTTGAACCTGCTCAACGAGACAGATTCTACAAAATGGTTCTTGATTTCATATACAAGTCTGCAAAAAGAAACAGGTCAGGTGCAGGATCATTCTTCTGGCAGTTCTTGGTTGAAGGGATGGAACTGTATAATGATGATTTCGGAATTGTTCCATGGGAGAGGCCTTCAACATATCAGCTCATTACTGAACAGTCGTGTAGGCTCGCTAAAGAACACGGGGTACTGCCTACACAAATGGAACATTTGAAGGATTTTTGTGCATCGACGAGGTTATAAATTATGTATTGATCTTCGAAAAAGAAAGAAGTTTGATGTGTACAATGAAGAATCTGTTTGTGTTTTTTTCTTGTTTGAGATTTGTTATAGAGGGAGGAGCTGCAGCATAGTTTTACACAATGTATTTTCTTACTTCATAGATGTATACAAATTTGCATAAAGTGAAAGTAGAGCAAATTCTTTTCTAACTTTTTCTTGTCTCTAATTCTTTTCTTTGAACTAGTTTTGGGTTGAGTTAGACCCAGAGTCTCTTCCTGATGTTGGTACCGGATAGTGTTTGGTGTGGAAAGGGTGTGAATGAAATCTCACATCAGAGACACGTGGATCCTTGGACTCTTAATATGATAATGGGCAATCCTCATCTCTTGAGCTAGCCTGTAGGTTTCATTGAGTTAGGTTCATGAAACAACACTTTCATCGAAAAACTATACTGTATATATAGAAAATATCGTTAGCGAAATTCTTGATTTTTCCACCACTCAAACAGTACAAATTGCAGGAGGCACTTGTATCAGCAGCCCTAATATTTTCCTCACCTTTCACCTCAATAGGATGAGGTAAAGTTGAACTACCAAGGAAAACTGGGCTTACATTAATCATCTTTGTAATTTCTCTTGGTGCTTTAGTAGGAATCATCTAGGTAGTTTTGAGTGCGTGAATTTGTGTGACAGAGATTAATCATCATTATTCAAAGTAGGGAAAAAGGACAAATATATTCCCGAACTATCGTTAATGGTATATAAATACCCTCCTTTATACTTTCTGTTAATTAGTGCCCCTGCAGTCCAAAAATCAGTGCACATTTGCCCCTCACACTAACGAAAGAATTATTTGGTACACGTGGCGCAATCCTACGGTTCAACCCGATTTGACCAATTATTTAACCCAAAATTTGAATACCCACCCATTACCCATTTAACCCACCCGATACACCGATTACCCACACAAATAACCTATTTAAAAACGTAAAAAAAAATCTGGCGGACCACGACGATAGAGCTATCTCTTCCTCCGATAGAGCTCTCTCTACCACCCATAGATCCGGTAGAAGAGTAAAAATCCACATCATTGTCAACAATACCAGAGAAAAACCTAATATTCCCACAACTCTCTCAAATTTCATCCATGTAACGGCGGCAACGTACGGAGCTCCGACGAGTCCATTTTTCTCGAAGAAGGAGCATAGCTAGTGTTACTGCCATTACGATTCTGCGCACTATGTGTTTCAACCCCGCCATGTGAGTTGGCAAGAGTACCTAAATAGAGAAACTCTGAACTAGTCTGAGACGATCTTTAAATCATATGAATATCATTATTAGCATCATTTTTAGCACCATCCCGACTCAGCCCATTGCTATTACTATCAGATGTTTGAGTTTTCCGGTCACTTTGTTTCCTTCGCTTTCGTATATGCAAAAAGATAGCAATAGATAGAACAATGAAACCAACAACAACATATATAACAACAGTGACAATGAGTTTAGTTGAAACTGGGTTAGATTTGGAGGTATTTGAGAGGATAATAGAAGAGACATTTTTAGGAACAAAATCAGCAGGGGAAATAGGGGAAGGTGGAAGAGAAGGATATGTAGGGAAAAATGGATTATTATAACTGTTATTAGGAGTAGTAGAACCTTGAAATGGGTACTATGTAGGGCCAGAGGAGAAGGTATAAGTGGTTGAGAAGAAGGTGGTGGTGAGTCTAATAGGAAAAAGGGTTCACGGTGAACACGACGGTTGTTGCCTTAGACGCCGGCGGTGGTGATGGCAAATGATAAGTAGTAGTATTGAGGTGAAAAACAGAGGAAGAAGATGAAGAAAAAAGAAATCACCATTGTTAACAAATGTGGGTAATGGGTGTATCGGGTGGGTCAAATGGGTAATGGGCGGGTATTCAAATTTTGGATTAAATAATTGGTCAAATCGAGTTGAGCCGTGAGATTGCGCCACGTGTATCAAATAATTCTTCTGTTAGTGTGAGGGGCAAATGTGCAATGATTTTTGGACGGCAGGGACACTAATGAACGGAAAGTATGATGGAGGGTATTTATATACCATTAACGATAGTTTGAGAGTATATTTGTCCTTTTTCCCTTCAAAGTATTATTTGTTTGTTTATAGTGGAAACATATAGTATGGAACCATTGTTTTTACGGATTATATTTAGATCTAGATAAATTATGTGAATTTGTGTGATGGAGATTAATCAGTGTCAAAATCATCCTTGTTCAAAGTGTCATTTGTGTATAGAGGTAATGTATAACATACATTTTTATTTTAGTTTATATATATCTAGATCTAGATAAGGTGTGTGAATTTGTGTGATGGAGATTAACTAATGACAGAATCATCCTTGTTCAAAATGTCATTTGTTTATAGAGGGAACATATAACATAAAATCATTGTTTGTTTTTTCTTTTTAGTTTATATCTAAATCTAGATAAGTTGTGTAAATTTGTGTGATGAAAATTACAAATAACATAATAGTGTCATAAACACATAATTTGTTAGTAATAATTTTACTTATTTATTACAACTTTTTCTTAAACTTTCTCTAGAGCAATGTTGCCAATGCAATAGTTTTCACTATAGTTTGTCATGTCATTTTCAAAGTTGTTATTATCTGCAAAATTAACCAGAAAATTAATGATTAAGTACTATTAAGGAGTAAGATTAAATATATTATTTCTCAACAAACTTCTTAGACTCTCATGTCACATGAATATATATATATATATATACTAGACATCGGAGCCCGTGCTAGCACGGGCCCAATATGTATCATTTTTTGTTTCAATTTATGTGACAAAGACAAAATTAAAGAGTTAATCAAACTTTAATATTAATTTAAAATAGTCTAAATTTTTAACTATTGTTAACTATGGTAAAAAATTTTTTATGTCTTTTAACATTCTAAATTGCTAATTATTGTTGTATGATTTGTAATATTTTTACGCAATTTTCAAATAATAAAGGTTATTTCTTCTTTCTAAATTTATGTGGTACTAATAAAATTTTGAGATTCAATCAATTTTTTTTGTCTTTAAAATATTCTATTGTTAATTACTGTAAATTATTGTACTTTCTAAGTAATTTTCAAATAATATATATTATTTAATTTGTCCAATTTATTTGTCACCGATAAAATTTGAAGAGTTAATCAGATCTTTTACATATTTTTATATCTTTTGAATATTTAAGTAGATAATTATTGTGATTTATAATATTTTATACAATTATTTAAAAAAAATTAAACAACAAACAAAACGAATTCATCATAGGAAAATTACCAAAGCATCCTTCAATACATCAATAATGGGTCCCACTTTTTGTTTAAAAAAATATGCATATTGGGAGGATATTTTTGTCCAAATGGAAAAAGAATAAGTATAAAGCATTAAAGTCTTTTAAAATTTTCAATTGTTAATTCTTATTGTATGATTTGTAATACTTTTACGCTATTTTCAAATAATAGAGGTCATTTCTTCTTTCTCAATTTTATGTAGTACTAAATTTTTTTTGTAGATTCAATCAATTTATTTTGTCTTTGAAATATTTCTAGCTGTTAATTACTGTAATTTATAGTACTTTCGAAGAAATTTTTCAAATAATATATATTATTTCATTTGTCCCAATTTATGTGTCACCGGTAAAAATTTGAGGAGTCAATCAGATCTTTATATATTTTATATCTTTTAAATATTTAAGTAATTAATTATCGTGATTTATAATATTTTATACAATTATTTAAAAAATTAAACAACAAACAAAACGAATTCATCATAGGAAATTACCAAAGCATCCTTCAATACATCAATAATGGGTCCCGCTTTTTGTTTTTAAGAAATTGCACATTCGAAGGATATTTTTGTCCAAAGTGGAAATACTGTGTAAAAAATGTGTATTTATTGTGATTTTGAATGTTTTGTGGGGTAATAGGACGCACGCAAAGTTAAGGTGTCTTTTTGAAAATCTGGGACAATTTGAAGTATCACTTAATGTTTTTTCTCAAAATCTAATTTACTTTCGTAAACTATGTGTCAGATCAAAATCAGATTAACAAATTCAAAAGGAATGAGTAATAAATAGCTCATACAATGACATATTTATTATTTAAAAGAAGTACTCTTTTTTGGTTGAAAGCTAACAAGATAGTTACAATGTAACTAAATACTATAAAAATCTTTGCATTGTAGCTTATATATATATATATATATATATATATAAAAGATCTCTTATAATTAATATTTGGTTTTATGCTATTAATTTTATCGAACCGTCCCTATTTTTTGCAAAAATACAAGTAGTAACGCAAGACAAGGCCAAGTCTAGTCCTCCTTCTCCAAATGTAATTGTTTTTTCGTGACAATGTTAGATATAAAACTTAAACAAAATAAAAAAGACAAAGGAGTGTTTTATTTAAAAAAATATATTTAAGACTGGTTTTAAGAGTTGCCACTTAATTTTTAAGAAAAATCAAGAAAACTATTTTTTCAAAAGATTAAAACAGAAAATCTAATGAAAATAATTAAAGGGGTTCGAGGTTCATACTAGCATTTCGGGAAGGGTTTGAAAGCACCCGAAATGCCCGCTAACATGCGGTTATCTGGTAATTAACTATTTGACTAATTTTCATTTGACTTAATTTGAATTGAACAATTTTGTAGTTAAGACCATTTTAGGGAAAAAGAAAAATGTTGAAATATTATCTAAGTGAAGTATTTTTGTAAAATTATTATCTAAGTCCATTTAAAGATGACTGATTTGATTAAATCGTAAAAAATATAAAATGTGCGTCGTTCAGGGGTTTGAATTTTTTAACCTTAAGATTAACGACAAACACTGACAAGTAAATGAGCATAGTAAGACAAAAGGGGAGAGAGATTTGGGCCCAAATCTGATTTCTGTCCGCCTAGTCCAGTATTTGGACCCATTTTTATTTTGGGCCTTTGGCCCGTTTGAGTCACCTGCACCTGTCCTAGTCTAACACAAATATATAATGTTTTCTCTTTGGGCCAAGGCCCAATTCTTTCACCTGTCCTAACCTGTCCTAAACTTTTAACCTAATAATAATAATTAAATAGGCTTAGGCCTAATAAATGATAAAAATACATTTTTTTCTTTAAAGAAGAATGGGACTCTTTAAACCCAATCCTTTCAATTTCTCGATCTGTTGCTTCTTTCAACT